AGTGAGAAACAGATAGGGTTTATTAACTGTTGATGATGACATGTATAGAATTCTCAACTGGATTGGTCTGAGAAGTGTTTCATGACGGGCAAAGTATTTTTACAAGCAAAACGAGAAATAGCAATTGACTGTTTTATAAAAATAATTAGAATAATAAAGATAATGATTGGGGAAAACGGAAAGGATATGGAATGTTGAAGTGGGGAGATTAATGTCTCTGTTCTGACTGACGTGCATGGCATTCCCTTTTGAAGAAACAATGTAACACACAGTAAAGTTATATGTAATCCAATGTAATATGAAGAAGATATGATGATAAAAAATAAAATTAAAAAAAAAATGTTTCCACATATATTTCTTCAAGATATATTGTAAAGGGCCAGCCAGTGGCGTGGTGGATAAGGTGGCAGGGTCCCACCTGACCAACTGAGGTTCAAGTCCCAGACCCAGTAACTTGAAAACACACGGGGGGCTAGAGAGAGGGCAGCAGGTGGCACAGTGGTTAAAGTGCTGGATTCCCACGTGGTCAACCACGATTGAGTCTGGACACAGTGGCTTGAAACTCATACTGGCCCATGGACATGAGTGCCCAAAATTTCAAGACGAAGTTGGAGGAGAAGGGATTGCAGCTTGGTCACCCATCCACCCCCAATCCCCCCCCACACTCCCTACCCCCAAGGGGAGTGATTTCTCACTTTCTCTCTCTCTGTGTCTCTAGAGCATACATGCCCTATAACAAATAATTTCTCAAAAAATTAAGAATAACCAAAACAAGAAGGAAAGAAAAGGGAAACAAACACACTGGCTATGTGTACATGCCTGCCCAAAATCCCAAAAGGAGATTGGAGGAGAAGGGATTGCAGCATGTCCATCCCCCTAGGGATGCTTTCTCACTCCCCTTCCCTACCCCCTTCAGTCTCTCTTTGGGGAGCACCATTTCCTACAGCAGAAACAAAACAAAAAATATTATAAATATGAGTACATATTCATACATATATACATTTATTATACATTTGATTATTTTTTATAAAGTTCAGCTGGAATTGATTAGTGTATGTTAGAAGACATGAACTTCTACCCATGTTTTTACTGATACTTTGCTAATCTCAACATCATTTATGAATATGTCCTATTTATAGATTAACTTGAAATACTATATTTGCAAAAAAATTAATTTATGAATATATATTTTTTCAGTACATTTGATTGACTGGTAATTTTCTTTCTTTTTTTTTTTTTCTGGAGAGGTTTTTGCAATAGGGCGCCTGCACTCACCAGACAGAGAGACAGAAAATGAGAAATCACCCCCCAGGGGGGATGGCCACGCTGCAATTCCTTCTCCTCCATTCTCCTCTCGGGATCTTGGGCATGCACGCACATGCACCCAGCGTGAGTTTTAAGCCATCGGGTCCGGGATGCGAACTGTGGTCGCCTACGTGGGAGTACAACGACATAGCCATTATGCTAACTGCTGGTCCCTGATTGACTGGTAATTAAATAATTAGGTGAGGAGCAGCTTTACTATGAATACCTGCTTAAGTGATATAAGACAGTACTGTTTAAAATATTCAAAAAGCTCAACAAATTTATTCTATGAATTATGAAATCATTTAAAAAACCATGTTATCATTATTAACTATCTCACTAATTTTATTATAATAATATCATACAAAAATGTTTTCACTGGGAGGAGTTTCATGATAATTTATTCACATTCATTATACAGAATATGAAGTAGTTAAAAGATGAGACTCGGTCTGGTAATTGGGCAAATTACTTGATAACTTTATGTCTCAGCTTTCACATCTATAAATGAGAAATGACTTTCACACCTACTTTAATTCATGTTGTAAAGAGCAAATAATTTCCTACATATAAGTGTTCAGGACAATGCCTAACAGCAAATGATCAACAAATGTTATATCTGATTTTAAATGATAAGGAATGTGAAACGCAGAAGCATACATTAACCAAAGTTTTTCTTAGTAAGGCAATAGCAAATGGAAAAGAACTCAGGTCCCATAATCCTAGAGAAGTATCTTCCCAGGTATACAAGAGCCCTAATCCATGAAAGCAGTCTATAGCAGAAAGATGCATGAAAATAGACAGGGCTTTTATTGTTCCCATACTAATTGTATTTATTTCTGCCATCCCCAGAGCATCATAGGTAGCCTTTTCAGTAAGTAGTGGGCTGAGAATTCGAAATGCAGCTTAAACACTTGGCTTGGGTGACCATCAAATCTTTAATAAGTCTTGAAATGAGGGTATCATCCATTCTCAGACTACCCACCTTCACTTTGAATAATTAGCAAGACGTTGCAGATATATGACAGATTAAAGGTAGTTCAGAATACCTGATTCCACTTTTACAAATTTGTTTAGGAGACTGATCCAAGGAAACTAACCATTTTCTACATAATAGCCACTGGAAAATCTTACAATGTTCTATTTTATCTGGTTCAACAATTAAGCATAATGAGGTTTACTATACTCTATTATCTTTAATAAAATGGTCTTACTCTCTAAAATCAGAGAAATTTAATGTTCATAAATTAATAATTTTAACTTCTCTTTAATTGACCATGGTAACCACCGCTGCTACTAATTCTACTACTTTCAAATCTTAAAAGAAAAATCCCAAAGCAAAGTAGAATATGGCTTGAATTTGTTACTATACCTCCCTGTTCTGTAACTATAACTTCATAAACAAGAAGATATTTATAAAGTCATGGGTACAACATGGCATACTTGTGTAAAAAATCTCCTTATAGAAAATATCCAAATAAAACAGTCTCTTATTAAAATGACTTATTTACAGTGTTATCATCTGGCATCTTGCAAATTACGTACATTTTTATCTGTCTGTGTATATGTGTGTGTGTGCATATTCATTAGAAAATTCTCCTTACCTTAGTATCTCTAACATCTGCATTGCTCATAAGAGACAGCAAATAGTTCCTTATTTCAATAATAATGAAGAGAGTTTTTGTAATAAAACTATTGATCACAGAGGGAAATATAGCCTAGTGACTAGAGTAAAATAATAAATTAGGAAACAAAAATTTCTACTGCTTTTTAAATTCAGTACTTTATTGGGAACCAGCAGTTAGCGTAATGGCTATGTCGCTGGACTCCCACGTAGTCGACTGCAGTTCGCGTCCCGGACCCGGTGGCTTAAAACACATCGGGCACGTGTGCATGCGTGCCCAAGATCCCAAGAGGAGAATGGAGGAGAAGGGATTGCGGCGTGACCATCCCTCCTGGGGGGTGATTTCTCGCTTTCTGTCTCTCTGTCTCTCTCTGTCCGTCTGGCGAGCGCATGCGCCTTATAGCGAAAACCTCTAAAAAAAAAAAATCAGTACTTTATATACTTTGTGTAACTGTTTAAGAAACAAAAATAAAAAAAAAAGCAAGATTAAATTTTCATATTTATAGTCCTCAGAACTCCTGCAGGAAAATCTCAGTGGCATGGTATTTTTTAGACAACTAGTTATTTTTAAAAAAATACATAAAAATCTGCTAGGACTATCATAAGATTTCTATATTCCCAAGGTAAAAAAAAAATAATAGGAATGTCCAGCACTTTTGCCCCAGGCACTGCTAAACAGGAATGTTAACTTTTGATAAACATGAATGAATAAATTCTTACCACTGCAGGGGAGGAATATAAAAGGCTATGCTTTCTACCTTCTGTTATTGAAAAGACTCCAGAGTTGCTGGTTTGGCTGGCTCTCTTCAACATGAAGATTCCTGCCCTTCTCTTTGTTTTATTTTTCTTTCTGACCTCATTGTCACCAGGTAAAATGGAGATGTTAATTGAAAGAGTGGAATATTTTTCTGGAGAATGAAATCTTGGTTGATGTCAACTGGAGATAACAGAATGACTGATATGCCAGGAGAATGATTAATTATGGTCCCAGGAGTAAATCACAAATAAAAGACTCATGATCTTGTTCAAAACTAAGACTCCTGTTGAGACATATTATTGTGGGAGACAATGTAAGGAGTCAATCAAATAATTATGAGCTGATTTTCTGGAATGGCAAGTTAGATAAACAAGTGTGATCACTCGGGTCCTTGAAGCATGATGGGAACTGTTTGCAGTGCCGCGACAGGGGGTTTTCCACCAACTTAATGATTTGATTATGCTGTGTTGCATAGTTTCCCTTTGAAATATTCATTTAAAAATAATGTTTTCAACTGATCTGAGGTCATAAAATGTTAATGGATCTGTTATGTCAGGTCCAATTACTTAGTGGTTAATATTAATCAGATAATGAAATGAGCATGACCTTTGAAGTTACTGATACCCAGGTTCAGGTTCAATTCCTGCCAAATGTTGGCTATGTAAATTAAGTTATTTAAACTCTTTCCACATCAATTTCCTCATGTGTTAATTAAATATAGAAATTAAGTACACTTCGTATTATTTTCATGAGGATTAATTATACATATATGTAATAGTTACATATATATATGTACAAAGGGCATAATATAGTGTATGATAGATATAAGATTATTCTTAAGTAGTATTGTAATTAATTTGATTAATTTTGCATTGTATTGAATCATATAGAAAAACGCTAGTAAGCTTATTCTAGAAAAAGAAACTCTTCTTTGACATCCACTGCAAGAGATGGCAGAGGCAACATTTATCATGTTAGATTTCATATACTTGAACTATTTATTCTCCTTTGTAAACTTTATTATATTAATTGTTCTTAGGATGGATTAGCACCAAAGGGATCAACTTTATGGAGATCATTAGAAGAGCTCTTTCAACATGTTTTTAGGCTACTTGAGACAAAAAAAGTATTTTTTTTATTTATGCAAGAACACAGAGAATAATCAGTTTACACGCACCCACTATTAGTCCTACTCATCAAAAAAAAGTGGGGGGAAGGAGGAGCAAGTACAGGGTCATTTGATTTACAAGTGATCTAGAACTTCAATAGTTTATTCTTTAAACTCTAACTCCATCCCTTAGGAACACAGATCAAACGAAGTGCTCCAACAATTAGCTTTGAGTAAATTTTTAAAACTCAAACATCTAAGTATTTTGAGTGAAAGATACAAATGGCTTTAATTCATTTATAATTAAAATAAAATGTACTGGATGATAATTGTGAGCATTATTGTATGACATCATTTTAAACTCAGGACAAACTGAATTAAAACCAGGGTTTGTTTTTACTAAAACCAAACAGGGGTTATCTTAAACTAGAAAATAGTAGTATTTAGTAAAATCACAAGTTGTATGATAAAACATTAGTTCCAGTTATGTTACCATGACTTACATATGTGCCTTATGTCACTTGTTTTGGAAAAAATATGTGAAAACCTTCATGACATTTTCAGTATATTCATAAATCCAGCAGATATGTATGTGTGTACAGGTTTTAATCTAAAAGCTAAAGAATTTGTGATTCATTTTTATGCCTAAAAATTAATTTTATATAATACAATAGCTGTTATCTTGAGTGAAGATATTAGTTGTTTCTGTCACCAGTGCAAAAAATGCTAATTTGGAATTCCCATTTAAATAATGCTATTTTTTTCTCATACTAGTGCTTGACAGCTGTCATCTCCTTTTATTTGTAAATTCTAAATCCTAATTAAATCAACATATAGGCTTCATACCCTTCATGTAGGACAGTGAAATTTGAAGATGCATTTTTAACCTGATGAGATCACGTCTTTTCCCTTGGGCATCAAAGGCAATAAATAGCATCTCTCTAGATAATACAAATAAAGAGATATCATTATTTTATGCAGTGGAAAAGCGATATCAGATGGTCTAAAATAAGTGGCAAGAAATTGAATATATATATGGGTTAATTTTCCCCAACAGAGAGGTTTTTGTACGAATATAATTTCACCAAAAGCAGAAGGCATGAATATTTTGGGTTATCAGTACCATCAACTTCACCTCAGTGGGGTTCTGTGTGAGAGAGGCGGGAGCACACTGTTCACAAACCTTCTCTACAGATTCCTGACGACTCTCTGTTATGTCTAATTCTTTTAGTCTGAAAGTTTGCCTCCCCAAGTGACCATTTTAATAATGCAAACATTTTTTGAAGAGGTGAAGTATGAAGTCAATACACATAACGTGGACAAGTTCATCAGTTGGCACATGCTATGATAATGCAGGCTTCAGTATTTTACGAAAGAGAGGACTCTGAAAGATGTTCACATGAGAAGATGCTGAACAATTTCACTCTCTTCTTCATTGTGTGTCTAAAAGCAGTCACGCATAACAATCTGAGGACTTCCCGCAACGTATTCTCCCTTGTGCAGGATCAGATCTTTGTGCATGTTCAAAGAATCCTTGTTCTCTCAGAGTATACTAGAGTTTTCTTCATTCTTCCCATAAAAGAGAGTTCTAAAGGTGTTAAAACAAGATAGCAATTTAAGTAACAGTAACTGATTTTCCAATTTTGACTCCTGAAGGCAAAATGTTTAAATATTTAATTTATTTTTAGAAATTAGATAGAAAGGATGTTAAGAGGTATTGGGTATATCTCCTACCTTGGATGTGATGATAGTGTAATGGATCCCTGTATACGCCCAAACTCATAAAATAGTACCCATTAAATATGGGCAGCTCTTTGTATATCAATTATGCCTCAACAATGATGGTCTTAAAAGAAAGTCAAGTTGGGAACCAGCAGTTAACGTAATGGCTATGTCGCTGAACTTCCCCTATAGCGAAAAACCTCTCCAAAAATAAAAAATAAAAAAGAAAGTCAAGTTGGGAACCAGCAGTTAACGTAATGGCTATGTCGCTGAACTTCCCCTATAGCGAAAAACCTCTCCAAAAATAAAAAATAAAAAAGAAAGTCAAGTTGGTAAGTAGCCAGAGAAATATAGTATAAGGTGCTCTTTACAGAGCTACTCTGGGGCAAATGATATCTGTTTAGTAACTCTCCTGGAAACTAAGCATTAGCAGCTGATGAGCCAAACCAAAAGTCAGAGGGAAAACTGACAGTGAAGCTGAGGAAACTGACAAAATACCTCAAAACTATCATCACCACAAAAATATCAAAACCCAAACCAATCACTTCCCAAGTCCCTTCCCTAGGATGCAGAGACTATACATATTTTTGCATCAGCAATAGGCTTATCCCAAGTTTGGGGACTTGAGAAACATTTAATGACTCAATAGCTTATGTGTATATTTTTTTTTCCTTTTTTTAACAGTGAAATGTGCCATGAGAGACACCTATGATTGCTTTATCAAGAGAGGCAACTGTAGACATGAATGCCATTATTTTGAAAGCCATGTTGGTTTCTGCACAAAACTAAATGCCAAATGTTGTATGTAGAAGTCTGAAATAAAAATATGCATCCCTGAAAAATAAAGCACAGTTGAGTAGAAGAATTAATAACAAATGAAACTGAGGTACCAGCTACTCCTGTACAGTCTGTGTTGTTACCCTTGTTTCATGGCATCATTTGAGGGAGTAGGTTCTCTCCTAAGATTTTGACAATAGTAGAAGACGGTCTGTATATACAATGATTCTATGGAAACATTTCATCATCTTGTTTATTAATTCTCTACTAATTGGCAGGAGAATGCTAAATGGTACAAAGAATTTATTATTATCATGATTATTACCATGAGACCTCAATTCAAAGGTATCCAAATGAATAGGAACACAACTCAAATAATGTAGGAGTTGAAAGAGACAAAAAAAAAAAAAAGTAGCATTTTTATCAGGTCATGGATCAAGGGACCTGCTTCACCACAAGTAGAAAGCCTTAGCATCAGTTCAAGCCTCCGTTTTATGTGTTTATCCTTTGAACAGGATATTCTTTTAAGAGGCCATATCTGAAAGTAAGGCCTAGTTTTATTTCAATGGAAACAGACAGCTAGGAGGGCTGATGAAAGCTGGAGGTGCCCCAGAGTTAAGATCTAGAGAACAGGGAACAAAGAAGTATAAAAATCATTAAATCACTAAAAGCACTAGAGATTTTAATAAGAGTCATATTATATTTATAGTTTATGTTAATGTATGATTATTGAAACGCTTTGGGTTACAGAAATGTTTTTGATGCTCACAAAATGTCTGTGAGGTAATTCAGTGTTCACGAAACATACAAGAAAACTAAGCAGAGACACATATCTAAAGGGACCCGACCAGAGTTCTAATTTTACTTGATTTGCTAAATAATACTTAGAAAGTTTGTGAGGTCATGCAGCTAATTAAGAAATTACACAGAACTATAAATTCAACTCTGACACAATGGACACAATACACAGAGGTCTGAATATTGCATTTACTCTGAAATCATTGCAGGGAGCTGGAGGAAGAGGACAAGGTAAATAGTGAGTAACCAAAAAAGGTCATATCTAAAACTAAGTGCAGACATAATACAATGAGAATAGGCAACTGGAGAGGACAGATTGCCAGTACGTCCATGTTTGACTGGCAGATTAATAGTCTTATGAGACAGACTTCTGATTAGATCGATCTGGTGGTGAAGTAGTGGGTGCTTAAATTTTTGCTTATTTTTATGTATTAAACTTTCAGATTGAGTTTAGAAGTTGAGAATTTTATAAGGAAATAGAAAAGAAACTCCATAACTCTTTAAGCTTATATATTTTCCTTTCGGATCATTGTTAAATTGAGTATATAATACACAGAAGGATTATAAATGAGTAAGTTGATAATTGATAGAAGTAAAAACTCACTTTCCTGTAGCCTAGAGCACTGATTCCCAAAACTTTGATGAGTAAAAAGTGATTTTACACAAAATTTTGTAGTCCTTTCATAGGAGAATAATTGCGGTCAGTGGATCTAAAGAATTTAAAGCAGTATAGATGTCCAAAAAATAACCTATGTGTGCACAAAAACACACTCAGCCAAACATATACGTATGCATTTAGATAGTCATGCATTTTTGTAGGAGAAAGATAAAGATAAATAGATAGCATATTTACTATTAATTTAACCTAAACACAATGTTTTTGTGCATTTGTATTCACCAATCACTTTTTTTTTTTTGAGAGGTTTTTGCTATAGGACGCATGCACCCGCCAGAAAGACAGAGAGACAGAGAGACAGAAAGCAAGAAATCACCCTCCAAGGGAGATGGCCACACTGCAAGTCCTTCTCCTCCATTCTCTTCTCGGGATTTTGGGCACACATGCACACACGCCAGCGTGAGTTTAAGCCACTGGGTCCAGGACTCGAACCATGGTCAACTATATGGGAGTCCAGAGACGTAGCCATTACACTTACTGCCGGCCCCTCACCAACCACTTTTGATTGGCTTCCTATTGAATTCTAGTAACCAAACTGGGTACCATTGGCGTTGAAAGTTTTTGTTTGTGTTTTTTTGTTGTTTTTTGTTTGTTTGTTTTTAGAGAGAGAATTTTGCTATAGGCATATGCTCTCATCAGAGAGACAGAGAAAGTAAAATATCATCCCCAAGGGGGGATGTCCACACTACAATCCCTTTCCCTCCATTCTTCTCTTGGGATTTTGGACATGCATGCATTCATGCCTGGATGAGTTTCAAGCCACCACATCCAGGACGCTAACCGTGGTCAGCCATGTGGGAGTTCAGTGCCTTAACTACTACTCTACCTGCCAGCCAGGATTGATAGCTTTATAAAATGTCTATAAACTTAGTATTTCTCAGTATCAGACAGTGGAACTCATATAAGAGACAAAAAAAAAAAAATGCTGTTTGCCTAATATCCATTAAAGTTCACCACATCCTGTTCGATTAGTCAGCAAGTTTGTTCTATGCCAGCTCTGAAGTCAGAACCTAAGCATATTACTGTAATGCTGGAAAAAGCCATCGTCACCACAGGAAGCAACCACTTAAATAAGATACTGGCCACCCTGCTTTGGAGCCAGAAACCTATCATCACAGTGATTATTACCAATGCTTTGTTAAAAGATTATCTGCTGACTATTACCACAACAGCAGAAGAATAATCTCAGTCGGTGGTAATGGGTGATGTAGACATTAGTGACTCTTCTGACTAAAGAACGTCTTCTCTATCTACTTCCATTGAATTTTATGTCTAGTTTTTTAAGCTGCCTATCTAGGACTTAACAGTGCAATGGGCCAGCACTGATCCCACAATGTGGGACCCAGCAGCCTTCTCCACCAGACCACTGGCTGGCCCAATGTTAACTGTTTTTCAGTCTCAATATTGGTCATACTAACTAGTAAATATACAAGTCTCTCATCTAATAAAAACAATTGAGAAAGGAGTTTTAATTGGCTTTCTATTGTCCACAGAGTAATGAGAAGGAGTAGCACATAAGTAAATCAGTCAGTCAAAGGCCACATTATAGGATGGAGACTTCTTCCGAGGTACAGATGCAAGCAGGGGTTTATGGAAGACGATTGCAATGATTTGGCTCTCAGAGATAAAGGCTCAATCTGAGGAGAGTAGCAGGCTAGGTTTAAGATACTCCAGGAAAAGTCTTATTCCAAAATCATGCTCCAGATATTAAATAATACAACTCCAAGAGAAGCTCATGTGTTCACTATTAGATTGTTTCCACTTTTTCAGTGTTAACTGTAAAGTATGTAAGAGACCGCTTCCAAGATATTCTCTTCAGAGTGTAGCAGGGAAAAAAAACTTGTCTGCTTCTTTTTATCAATAATTTCTAGTTTACAGTGATGTAGTCAAAAACGATCTGAATTTTACATGGACTTAACCAATCTTAGCACTAACATGCTGTAAGAGAAGTTCTAAATTCTTGCTTAAAACCCAGTTCTCCATTCCCCAGATAATAAAGTGCAGAGTCCTCAACCAGGCTTAAAAGGTCTAGCCTTCTAACATGATTCAGTTTCACTTAATTTATTTTATAGCTACATGTTCTCACTTGTTTCCAAACCTTTGCACATGCTCTTCTCTCTCCCTAGAACATTATCCTTCATTCTTCACCTGGCTAACTACTCTTTCCAAGGGTTATCTTAGTAGTCATCACCTAAGACAAAATTTTATGCACTCTCTTCTGCAAGTGGCCACCTAATGTGTCCAAACTACCACTTTATCACTCAGAACTGTAATTGTCCATTGAATTGTACGCCTGAGTTTCTCATGAAACTATAAGCTTTATCAAAGGAAAGACTCATTTTTTAAGTGTACTGTATGTAATCACAGAACTTGAGAGTATATCCTCTAAAACAATTTCTTCTTAAAATTTTACAGAATAAATTAATGAATGACAAAGATAAAAGTACATATTCGTGAGAGAAAAAGAATGGGAGAAAATGTAACTATAACATTTGCTCTGTATACCAAATGTCAAATAAATCTCTGAGCCCAAAGTGCTAACCAATGATTCTCCTTTGCAGTCATTTGCTATCTGTAAATTATATGGTTGCTTTGGCAGCAGAGATATGGACAGAGTTGGGTATCTAACTTAGATAAGATTATTATTGCCTTTTTTCATGGCATATCTTCTCTATGTCTGGAGGGTAGTAGACAGTAGGGAGAGTAGGATGAGAAAAAGGAAGAAACACTTAACAGACAAAAAAAAAGTGAAGTTCTCTGTTGGAAATGATTGTGTAATTGTAATTTCTTTTATTTGATTTTCATATACTACATGTATATCATGTGCTGTAGAGATGTACAATGATGGAATGTAAAGAAAAAGAAGGAAGGAAGGAAAGGAGGGAGGAAGTTGGAGATTTATCTGAAGTAAGAGATCCTGTAAGGGAAATAAATCAGAAAGATAGGAAAAGATTCATTGAGACAAAGTCTTCACCTTCGAGATTAAATTACCTAGGATCGAATTCCAGCTTCAATCACATTCTTAGCTATGGGATTTGTGCATAAGCCATCACCAGCTCTTTAAGTGGCAATGTCCTCATTTACAAAATAGAAATAGTACTTACTGTATGGTCTGATGTAAGTTTTATATGAAGATTAAATCTGACGATACAAAGAAAATATATGTCTAGTGTCTGGCATAAAATAAACATGCAATTGGTAGTATTAAAATCATGATTATTGGGACCAGCAATTAGTGTAATGGCTATGTCGCTGAACTTCCATGTAGCCAACCATGGTTCGAGTCTTGGACCTGGTGGCTTAAAACTCACGCTGGGCGCGTGTGGGTGCATGCTCAAGATCCCAAGAGGAGAATGGAGGAGAAGGGATTGTGGTGTGGCCATCCTCCCTGGGGAGTGATTTCTCTCTTTCTATCTCTCTGTCTGTCTGGTGAGCGCACGCGCCCTATAGCAAAAAAACCTCTCCAAAAAAAAAAAAAATCATGATTATTATTGTTACTATAATTATATCAGTAATGCCATAACTGTTTAACATTCCAACTCTGCTCCTCCATAGTGTGTATGTGAGCAGGGGCCATGTTGTAATAATAAGAAGACTTTTTGCCTATGGAAAGATGAAAGGGAGTAAAATATCTTCA